AGCAGGGTTAGTGCCACCTCAGTGGGCCTTCCTAACAGGAAATGAGAGACAGGAGCAGGCTGGGCAGATGAATGTCTTCTTGTTCTCTCTCACCCGAAGGCAATTCCTCCCTCAGCCCTGCAAGAAGTCCTGTAGCAGGTACACCAGGCACTGAGACCCGCTGGACCTCTCCAAGGCTTCTTCTAAAGCAGTGGTTGGCTTAGTAACACAGCAAAATGGGGGCCTTGGCCTTTGCCCCCACTCCCCTTTTCCTCTCTCCTGCCACTCTGTGCTTGTACCTCCTGGTAAATACAAGTTTTCAGTCCTTGTCTGAGCCTCTGCTTCCTGGAAGACCTCGTGGGTGTACTCTGTGCTCACCTAGGCCAGGATTATAACAGCCAACATCCCTGTGCCAACACACCTTACATGGATTACAAGCCTGGCTTCGTTGAATTCTTATAGTTAACTCATGCAGTGTTGGTACTATTGTTATCCCTATTTTGTGATAGAGAAAACAAAGCTCAAATTGGGAAAGTCACCTCCTAGCGGCCAGCAGCAGCAGAGCTGGGCACATACCCAGGACCTAGTGTAATGCCAAAACCTGTCTGGTGAGCAGCGCACCGCCTATGTAGGCCACGACCTACTTATCCGAGCACTTGAGACTGCAGTTATACGCTGTGTGGCTGGTCCCACCCCGAGTGGGGCCTTCAGGGCCTATACTTCAGCCTGCAGCCTCTGGCCCAGTCATGGGGGGATCTGGGCAAGGGGGTCCAGAAACCTCGGAAAATATGCAGCAGGGGTATCAGGTTACAAAGAAATACAAAGCCTTACCAGTTCCTTCCTCAGCCATTCCAGGGTCTGTCCAAAATTCGGAGTTGGCTCTTCTCCTGTTTTCATCTCAGTGTCCTTGAGAAAGACCTTGATGCTGACCTGCTTATGGCCCGAGGGACCTCTGACTTGTGTAGTCTGCTACGTCCTTCAGGCTGGGATCTGGCTAAGCCACTGAGGATAGAGTTAGTTAATGAGATCGGGAAGGTGCTTACGTGGGAAATGAAGTTTTTCTTTTTCTTTCTTTCTTTTTTTTTTTTAATGCTTCTGTGCATTGAACAGAACAAGGAGGGAGGGAGGAGACCCTCAGGGGTATGAGTATTTCAGTGCCTGCTGATTCCAGAAGCGAAGAAAATCTGATGCCAACAGAATCACAGAGACTGCAAAGCTCTAAACGATCATAATAATAGTTAATACCCAAAAAGGGGCCCTTTTCTGAGGGCTTGTTTTGTCCTTTACATATAAAGTACATACAAGGAGGTTTGCAAAAAGTTCACGGGGAATTTATAGTTAGAAAAAACTATGCATGGATATCAAGTTCCTCATATTTTAAATCTATTTCTCATACTGCCTTGTATGTGGGGTAGACACCCCACTATGTCCTCAGTCTCTGTGCTCCCTTCTCCACCTATCCATAGTCTTTAGATACAGGGAAATGCTTGCTGTTCAAGTTCCCTGGATTTGGGGATGCTCATGTGACCCTATTCTAGCCCATGAGATCAAAGTAGAAATTTGCTCTTAGGCTTTTAGAAAAACTTTTACCTTTTTGATAAAAGGGAAAATGTCACTGATGTTCTCCCTTCACTCTTTATTTTCTGCTCCTTCCTTCTGTCTTGAATATAGACGTGATGTCTGGAACTTTGGTAACCTTCTTGCAACCATAAACCAAAGACCAAGAGCACTGCAAAGACATTTGAAATCACTGAGTCACAGAATTGGCAGTAGCATCTGCCTACTGTATGAGACAAAAGATCCCATTTTTAATGGACGCTCTGCTACTTGCAGCCAAACACATTCCTCAGTGACACACCGTTTATTCTTCACTCTAACTGTGAGTGGGTATTCTTTAATTCTCTCTTTCACCAACAGTAATTTAGTGTCTACTCTGTGCCAGGTTCTGCTCTAGGCACTGTGGATGTTGTCCAAAACCAGAGGGACAAAGGCCTTACTTTTCTGAGGCTGACGTCTGCTGAATGGAAACCACCATTAAATTAATGCTATGATTAAGGAACTATTAATACTATGATTAGGAACTATTCTCCTAGAATAGATTTTTCTTTTTAAAAAATATGTGTGCTCTGTCCACATGAACTAAGAACCCTAAACCAAGAATTACCATAGTGATCTCAGGGAATGGTCTGAGGGGGCTGGCAAAATTCAACCCATTGTGGAGGGACTTGCCCTCAACTCAAGCAATACAAAATATGTACAATTAAAGCTTCCCTGAAGATGAAGTCATCATTGAAAAAGACAAAACACCCAATGAAACTAATTACCATGAGTGAGAGTAAGCAGACTCCATCCACAGCAGAATTAGAACTTTGCCCCCCCAAGACCTTTAGATGAGATTAGAAATATTTTGAGAGGCTGGCAGGTGGTGTGGTGGTTAAGGACATTGGACTCCCACATGGCCAACCATGGTTCAAGTCCTGGACCTGTCAGCTTGCTTTCTTACTCTCCCGCTCTCTCTCTTGCTCTGTCCCTCTCTGGTCAAAATGAAAGGAAATAATTTTCTTTTTTTTTAAAAAGAAATATTTTGAAAAGATTAATGCCATACAAAAGTATACAAAAGACAGATGGTTACTTGCAGAGGCGGGTTTGGAGAGGCCTGGATATCTGGTCTACCATGGGAGTTTGGATCCAAATTTGTGGATGAATCTGAAACAAGACTTGAAACAGTTATTATGTTTCTGTGTTTCATATGTACCTTGTGTGTTCTCTTCGGTAGCATGAGAAAAGACTCACCTTATTTTCTGCATATTGCAGTTATTATCAATGACCTGGTATGGTCTGTCATACATTTGTTGTGCAAGGGAAGCAGTCATTAAATGGTTCTTCTCTTCTAGGCTGAAAGTCAAAAACTCATGGGAAAAAAAACTTTAAATGTGTTTGGTGATGTTTTTGGTGATGTACACTCTTCCCAATAAAATAATCACTCCTAACAACTGCAATGACAACTTAAGACCATTTTGCATATACTGGTAAAAACCACATGCCTGATTAAACTGCTCAATGCCTATAACTTAGATTAATTATGTATTATTGATATGTTCTTAAAATGTCACTAAAAATAAGGAAATTTTAATCATTGCTGATTGTAAAAATTATATTTTTCTATGCAAAAATGCATCATGACTTTCCCAATGACCCAATATCTATAAATTAAAGA